TACAGGATTACAGAACATAGTTTTATTTTGTTTATGCACTTTTTCTTGTTAAGCATGCATTGAATTTTCAAGCATAAGAATACACAAACACAGTAAAGACCTCTTGCAAATTCTGCTTTTGTGTTTTCATAGAACTGTTGTATGGCAAAAAAAAAAACCTTCTTTATCTGGAGGGAGCTATGCCAAATTTAAACCATCAACTACTGTAAAAGATCCATGTAACAATACTCATTGATAAAACTATAACTCTAATAGTAATAGTAAAATAAAATGACTTTTACTAGTCCTCTATCTCTCTTCTGAACATTGCTCTTAGTTGCACAGAAGCGAGGCCTCACATCTTTGACTTCAGTCTGAACAGATGGAGAGAACTCCAGTAAATATCATTTCAAACATCAGCCGTGCTTTGCTGATGGCACAGCCGTATTCAAGGGACTGTCATCTCCAAAAAAACATTTAGGATCAAAAAGGCTTGTTGATTATCATACTGGAGCAGAGAACTAACAGCAGTTATGCTAATAGTTGGAACTATACGTGAAGCACACTTTTTTTTTGGTGTAAAAACAGTTTGGGGATTGTGGGGATTGTTTGGTCAAATGTTATCTTTTGTTCTAAACTGAAACATTAGTATATTGACTAAATACTTAAAATCTAAAACTAAATTACACTTGTGTTTTTAGTGACCGAACCATAAATGAATGAAAAGTTCAGTGAAATGAAAACTTGGAAGCAAAACATTTCCTTTTATTTCATATTTCATATTATTGATGTGATCTGTTGTGAATGATAATAATCCACTCTTGTACAGAACAAGGAATAGATTGTTGGGTGACGGCATGGAAAACACCAACACATCACATGCCTGGACTCATTTGCCACATCAGCTTAATGAGGCCATTATTTGCATTACATTATAATGTTATTATGTCAAGATTCCAGTACCAGTAGGACAGTGGTTTGTTTTGAAATGTATTAGTAACGGCAATTAGTTTACTGGGACGCATGAGTGTGGGAGCGTGGATGATTATGGGCGGGTGCGTTCAGCAGCCAAATATGACAAACACGTGACTGTGTTCACAAGGTCCTGAGTGAACTTAGCGCATCTGTGGACCATTGCACATGCAGTACTTAGCATTGCAAACGTTTACCTGTTGACGATCTCACTCATAAACTGTGGCCTACCTGTATGGAGTGTAAGCACAGGAATCTCTAGCCTTCAAGGGATGGTTCACCCAAAAAGGGAAAATTTTGTCATCATTTACTCATCATCATGTTGTTCCAAACCTGTATGAGTTTCTTTCTTCTGTTGAACACAAAAGAAGATATTTTAAAGAACGTTGGTATCCAGGCAGTTGACAGCACCCGTTGACTTCCATAGTAGCCTTTTTTTTTTTTCCTACTATGGAAGTCAACGGGTTCCATCAACTGTCTGGTTACCAACATTCTTCAAAATATCTTCTTTTGTGTTCAACAGAAGAAAGAAACTCATACAGGTTTGGAACATCTTGCGGGTAAGTAGTGACAAAATTTTCATTTTTTTGGTGAGCTATCCCTTTCAGTTAATTGCTGAATATAGAGTAATTTTCTTTTCTTCACATTTTATACAATTTTATACTGCTAACTTTGTTTTTATTTAGTGTAATTACTTATCAACTAATCCATTTAAACAGTTCCCATTCATTCAACCGAAGAAAGAAATTGCAGTTTGTGGACAAAATGTTATCATCATAACGACAGCACAATTTCTGTATGTATATACTGCATATTGCATTAATTTAACCCAAATTCATGTAATTGAATAAATAAATATGATTTTAGAATGGTCCCATTGCTCTCGTAACTTCAATAGTGTAGCTAATTCCGGATGAAATATGAATACATTTATTATAAAAACTAATCTCGGAATTAAAGCTGCCACCAAAGGAAACCCCTTGGTAGTATTTCAGATGATGATGACAACAACACCAATAATAATAATAATAATAAATAATAATAACACTAATAATAATGACCATTGACCAATAATAACAGTATAATCACAATAGCATTAATATTTCTTCATCCGTTTGAAAAACGATTTTGTACGCTAAATATTTGGAAGCCCTTCTCAAATGTAATGGATACATTTTGGACCTGTTACTTTTCATTTTATTGTATATAATAATTTTAGCGTTTCATCAGACTCTAAGCTCACTAGATTTTTAAGTGGCCATATTATAATGTCCACTAACCCTGTGACTCTCTCTCTCTTTCTCTCTCGCCGTTTCTCCGCAGCGCTGGAGGAAGTTGCAGTGCACCTGTTCTTCACCGCTGCTCGGCCAGTGACTACAGTTCCCACGTAACATTGCGCAATGTCCCTCGATCCGCGCGCTGCGCCAGTCTGCTCGAGGAACCAGTCCGTCCGTTCGCTCGCTCGCTCGGCCTTTTTTTTCTGCTTTCTCACTGTTGCCTGGTGTCAACCTACGCCGAGAAAGAAACATCCCTCCCTCTTCCCCCCTCAGCGGCAGCTTCCAATTTGCCTTCGCTTTTCTTTTCGCCTCTTCCATTGGCTTGCGCGCTGCCAGTCAAGCGCTTCCTCTTTACAGGAGAGTTGAGTAGCAACAGCTCGGAAACATCTGGCTGCCGCAGCTCTCGTCGCTCCGCTCGCCTGCTCTGTCTTTCCTGCCACTGCAGGTTGTTATGGAAAGCTGTTGAAAGTCAATCGAGTTGTTTTTCTCGCTGAGAGGATTAGACGGAGGAAGCAGGAAGACGTTGGACCTGGTTGTCTGTAAGTGCCTGTGATACTAGGTGCTCTTTAAGGAGATGAAAGGGGGGTTGGAGGCACGGGCTGGATTGTTATGGGGAAAAGTAACGATCTTTTTCACGCGACTGTTGGTCTTTACGCGTAGAACGAGTTGCTCGAGCGCGTGGCATCGGGGCCTGTCGCTAAACTGTAACACTGCAGGTTGAATGCTTACTTTTTATTTGTTAGCCACACTAGCTAGCTTTTCCTGAACGTACGGGGTCAGGATCCAGAGAAAGACCGTCGGCAGTGCTGTGTGTGTTTGTGTAGGAGTAGCCTGCTATAATACCATTTCCTACCTAGGTGGACTCGTAGTTTATTTTATTTCAGTGTGTATTTATTTTGTAGCGTAGCTTTTAAGTTCAAGAAGGGCTAACTTGGCACAATTCCGTCTTTCTGGAGAACTTGCCAGGTTTGAAAACAAGTTTACTTTGAAATAGCACAGCATAAAACAGTGTGTTGGCTTAGTTTTTTTCTTTTCCCTTCATGCTGACCAGTTGCTTTGTAAACCAAAATAACATTATTCATAAGCAAGGCTAATCGTACGTATTTTCCATGGAATTAAAAGCTCCTATTAGTTGTTTAAAAGCCCCTGAGATCAAGTGTAATGTTCGTGACAGATGCAGCAAACTCTTCATTCTTGTGCTGTTTTATGCATTTAAAAATATTGTTGCATGTCAATGAGTTTTTAAAAAAACCCTAACTATTCTGTTCATATTCATGAGTGTGACATCCTTCAGAAGAGACCTTCAGATTGTAGTTTGGTATCTTTGTTTAGCTGATTTTAGTGGTAAACAGGAAACTGTTGTTTGGCTTGTACCAAAGAAGTTTCTGAAAATTAACACAATTATAAGTGAGATACTTCAGAAGAAAGGAGGTATGTACTACAACCTAATGCAGAATACAGTGTCTTTTGTTTGAACCGTACTTATAAAGCCTGTATGATTGTTCCCATTGTTTCTTATTTCTCCCCCCCCCCTCCTCTGTCAGTTGTCCAAAGGGTTAGTAAAATGAATGACGGTAATGGCGCAGCCAGTGAACCATAAAGAAGTCGAAAACAATATCAGCTGCGTGGATCTGTCAGTTGCAAATGTGCTGTGCTGGCCTTTGTTTATGGTTACTGGGAGGAGAGGGGGAAAAAAACTTGAGGGTATTTAAATTCTCAGTGCAGGAAACTAGGTTAGAAAAAAGTGTCAGCTTTCAGACGGACCCAGTTCCAAGTTCTTCTTTGCTGAGAGATTACAACTAAAGGGGGGAATTGGCTAGTTTTCTACAGAATCACCTCACAACACTTCCCTTCCTCCCGTTTTTAAAGGGGGGAAAGAGAAACAAAGTTGTATAAAGGAGAGGCTGGTGGCAAGAGTGTAGAGGAGTAGCATATGGCACTAAAAGGAGCACAGCTGGAGGTAGCATTTCCATCTGAACATGATGTCAGAGCAGCTGACAGGCTGCCATCCCCCAGTCTTTTCTTCTAACGCACAGACTGGGAGTTAGTGTGTGTGCGGATCTGTGTGCAGGAGGAGGCATCGCATTCCCCTCCAACATCTCCTCCACTTTGCATCTGTCCCTCACAGTTTGATTTTCTCTCTCTTTCTCTCGCGTCTCTACCCTTTCATTGATTCGGCGGAGGGAGTTACAGCCGGCGCTACCACAACAGTGGACTTAATCAAGTTGATGCGTACTGCAGGTACTGTACCGGGGGGTCCGGGCAACAGGGATGTGTTTTGAATAGGGTGCTCTCGTTAAGTCTTTCTTTGCGCGTCTGCCATCAGCTATCAGAGTGTGGGAAATGGGAAGTAAAGGATTTTGAGCTGGTGTAGCGTAACCAGGCTGGGGACAAGTGACACTTTTTGTTGCCATGAAGAGGTTTCCAGGCAAGCGTTTCATTATTCTGTTTGTTTACAGGTCTTCTTTTCAGCCACTTTGTTCTCAATGGCAAATTGTTGCTCTGTTGTGACGGCATACAGTGGTAGGTTAGTTTATTATAGTATTATTGAATTAAAACAAGAGACTCTTATGTGTTTATATGCTGTTAATCTGTCAAAATCTGTTTTTCTTTTAAATAACGAGATTTTCAGTCCAATTGAGCAAAATTCATAATCCGCTAAAGCGACCGAAAAGACATAAATGCTTTTAGGGAGATAAATCTGCAACTTTATATAATCACATGCGTTCTTCAAAATGTCCCGTCTTTAGGCTTTTGCTCATCTCTTTCTATCTTTTTTTTCTGTTTGTAAGGACTAATTTAGAACTTGCAGATTTGAGCTGCCTGAATTGGCTAGACAGCTGTAATCGCACTCCTCCTAGTCTTAATCTCTTTATCTGGGCAGCAGCTGCCATATGGTCTCAGTCAGCTGGATCAGATGTTTATAAGCCTCCTTCTCCGTCCCTCTCTGTCCTCCCAGTCTCCTAATTTGATCGCTGCTACCTTGTGAGCTGTCCTGCAATCTTTATTTTTAGCCATCTTAAGGATTAGGATTGATGTGGACTACGGGGCACTTAAAGTGATTGTATTGTAAATCTGCTGTGGACCGCCTCTTTGGGGAGGATGTTCCATTTCTCCAAAGATTTGGGGAGGGGGAAAAGGGGAGGAGAGGGTTGGCGAGAGGTTTGTTATCCCCCCGTCCCCCTATAAGCCCCTCATTAATGAAGGTCTGAACGCTGTTTGGGGTGGGGTGGGGGGCTTTGGCTTGCTATCCCAATCAGATTTAAATGAAGATTCAAATGAGTTCATTTAAGTCCGCTGGTTGAACATGACGCTGGTGCATTTTTTTAGATGGGAACGATCTCCGCGGGTAACAGGTGTGATTTCATATTTTTATGTTTTTTTTTTTAATTAGCCCTTTTTTAAATTTTTAAATAGTTTGTGTATAACATTTTTTAACACCGTGTATATTTCTTGTTTTTTATCGTATTTTATTTGCACAATGTCCGTCTTTGATTACGCACGTCATACTGATGTTCTGCTACCTCAGTTGTCGCAACCTTTGAGATCATGGTACTTAGTATACTTATGCAGTATGCCCATGATGGAGAGCTGTTTGTGTACCTGTAAGCCTGTTACCTATACTTGGCATCCTGGCCAAAGTGGGTTATTATAAATAACTGCTCCAGGAGCGCAGAGAGTAAAAACAGGAAAGATTCTCTCGCGCAGGCATCTGTAGAATCAGGACTTCAGCTTCTTACATCACGGCATCTGATTAAACTCAAATGATTTTGATGGGATGCTCACGGATATATTCCTTTTAATGTAACTTGCAATAAACATTTTTATTTTATTTACATTTTAGTGTTAATTTCCCAGGTTGTGCTTTTAAACATTTAATTAAAGGGGTTAGTTTGAAGTTTAATAGTGAACACATCACTGCTTACTTTAAAGTGCACAAGTGAGAAAAATACAATTAGCTTAATGTGATGTTATACTTTTTGCATGTGCTTTTTTGTAATCCTTTTATGTCAAGACTGTGGTGAACATTTTTCCAGTGTTCCCACAGGGGAGGAGGGAGGGAGAGAGAATTAGAGTGTGAGAGTATGTCTGTGTGCATGGAGCGAGAGAGAGGGACGGAGCGGGTGGGAAAGAGAAGTTCCACACAGAGTACAGACAAAACAATTGTTGTTCTAGAGAGCCTCACTAACATCTGTGGTCTTTTGCAGGTTATGAAGACAGCATGGAGTTTCCAGACCACAGCAGACATTTGCTACAGTGTCTGAGCGAGCAGAGACATCAGGGATTCCTTTGTGACTCCACTGTGCTGGTCGGTGATGCCCAGTTCCGAGCCCATCGTGCAGTGCTGGCTTCATGCAGCATGTACTTCCACCTCTTTTACAAGGACCAGCTAGACAAAAGGGACATTGTTCATCTGAACAGCGACATTGTCACGGCCCCGGCCTTCGCTCTCCTGCTTGAGTTCATGTACGAGGGAAAGCTCCAGTTTAAATCGCTTCCAGTGGAGGATGTGCTGGCTGCTGCCAGCTACCTCCACATGTACGACATTGTCAAGGTGTGCAAGAAGAAGCTCAAGCAGAAGGCCACGACTGAGGCCGACAGCACCAAGCGGGAGGAGGATGCATCCAGCTGCTCGGATAAGGTGGAGAGCTTCTCGGAAGGTGGAAGCACGGGCCGGCCGGCCACCGCTGACCTGCTGCAGAGTGATGACGAGGACATGGAGAACAAACGGGACAGCCCTCAGGAGCCGGGGAGCATGTGGATGAGACTGCCTTCTGACCGGACCACGTCTCCCACCACCAGCCCCAGGGAAGCAGAAACGCACGGCCCCGACACTGGCAAATCCCCTGCCGGCAGCCCCAGCAGCTCCACCGGCTCCCGGTCCCGTCGCTCTGCAGCGTCTCGGAGAGTCTCCGCAGACACAGATTGTGTGCTTGATCTCTCTGTGAAGTCCAGCCTGGGCGGGGGTCCTGGGGAGACCATGTCAGGCAACCATTACTTCTGCAGCTCTGTCACCCCAGACAGCCTTCAGAGTGCCCTGGTTCAAGTCAAGGTGGAGAAGGACACAGGCTCAGACGACGATGAGCTGGTGAGCGGCGACTACGAGATGGAGCACAGCGGTGTGAAGGAGCCGCCTAGCACCAACGGGACTCACATCAGCCTTGTTGCGCAACGGAGGCTGGGCCTGGAGGCTCACCTTTCGGCCTTGCGTGAGGCCTCACTGGCCAGCGAGCTGGAGCGGGACGACAAAGGAGATGACACGGACGTCCTAGGAGGGGACAGTGAGCGAGCTCAGGAGGTCGCAGGGGTCGAAAGCGCCCTGTTGCCTTACGTCTCCAGCATGCTGGGGGCCCCACATACTCAGATCTTTATGTGCCCCTTATGCAACAAGGTCTTCCCCAGCCCGCACATCCTGCAGATCCACCTCAGCACGCATTTTCGAGAGCAGGAAGGCGTACGGGCCAAGCCGGCCAGTGACGTTAACGTCCCCACCTGCTCCATCTGCGGCAAAACCTTCTCCTGCATGTACACGTTAAAGCGCCACGAGCGGACACACTCGGGCGAGAAGCCCTACACATGCACTACTTGCGGCAAGAGCTTCCAATACTCGCACAACCTGAGTCGACACGCCGTCGTGCACACACGCGAGAAGCCACACGCCTGTAAGTGGTGCGAGCGGCGCTTCACGCAGTCAGGGGACCTGTACCGACACATCCGCAAGTTCCACTGCGAACTGGTCAACTCGCTCTCGGTCAAGAGCGAGGCGCTCAATCTACCCACGGTCAGAGACTGGGCACTGGAAGATAGTTCTCAAGAACTGTGGAAATGAATGCTAAAATGATAGCAGACTGTTTGAACTGCTTGTTAAATTGATGAGAGAGATCTGAGTGACATTTTTTGGGGCAGAGTGGTGAAGGTAAGAGTGGGGCAGAGTGACGGCCGAAGGGTCCGAATCAGTCATTTTTCTTGTATGTACATTGCAAATCTTGTTGAATTGCACTTTACTAGCACATGAAAATGTTACTACTGATTTTTTTTCTTTTATTATATTTTCTGGTTTGTTTAGGGTCTCTTTTTTTTCCTGTTCTCCTTGGGTTTTTATAAAACATGGGTGCTGGTCTCAGTAACCAACTTTGACAGAAAATTTATTCATTGGGATTTTCAACTGTATATAATTTACAGTATTTGTATACGCTCCTAAATTTCAAGGAACATCTGCCATGAAAAGCATATGAAGATTTCAGGTAATAGACGGAGGATTTTAAAACTAAGGACACACTAAACGGGTACAATGGTCATATATTTACCTGTACACACTTGCCTCTATATATATATATATATATATATATATATATATATATTGCATGTATATGTATATATATATATATATATATATATATATATATATAGTGCATTACTAAAATTTGCAGATAACATACCTGATGTGTGACTGTGGTTGCGGCGCATGTGTATTCTTGCACATACGCACATGTACACACGTAGTGTGTGAGCAGGTCAGTCCTTTAAATCCCACGAGGAAGCTCTAAGCTCGCGTTACTTAAGCTCTTGTACATTTTTGACTCGTTATAGGAAACTTGACTGATGGAAGACAAACAAGGCACTCATGCAATGTACAGTTTCCTTTTTCATATCAGTTGCTGCATTTCCTCTATCTTTTCTTAATATGATTTGAAGTCATTTTCACATTTTAGTTGCAGTCTCTCTACATCACTCGTTTGCTACTGAAGTTGGGTTTTACATCGGCTGCATTTCTAGAGATTTCTGTAGTGTTTTATTAAGACTTTTCGTTTTTAAAACGGAATCTGTTGTTGCATGATGTCTGACCTGTATATTGAAAAAGATGTGACTTGCTGTATTGCTGTACACTGTAATTGACTGATTCATTACAGTCAGGGCACCTGTCTGTTGAGAAAAAAAAGTACCTTTAATATTACCGCTGTAGAAATTGCATGAATTTTATTTAACTTTTTTTGTTTTGTTGTTGTTTTGCATCAGAGAGTGTATTTTTTAATTAACTCATTGATTCCTTGGTAGATTTGAGTTTTTTTTCCTCTCATTAGAGAATGAATCGGGGGTTTTGGCGAGATGTTTATTCTGGGCTGTGAAGATTGTGGAAATGCACTGACGTTAGGCTGCAGTATCTACACATGGGAAGCGATTCGGTCTGGGCTCGCTGTAGAATTCGGAGGTTAACGAGGGGCCAGGTGTCAGCAGAAGCTGAATCGCTACGTTTATTGTTCAGAAGGCTAGCGTTGCTCCTGCTAGCGTCTCCTCATGCGCTGCTCTTCCCAGTGCTGGGTCCTCAACTGCTGTTTGTCTCAGTGTCCTGTTTACTAGCTGTTGTCATTTGAATCATGTCAGCTCTGTTTGTAATTTATTTATTTATCTTTTCAATTGGCACTTGCTTCAGATTCGATTGCCATGAAGACACATTTGCGTGGCTGATGGTACAGCTCTTCTTTATGGGTGTCCTCAGCAGCGCACATCTATTTGGAGAAAGCTGAAGGATCTTTAAACAGCATAAAGCTCGACACACTCTGATCTGAGTGGTTTGTGTGCGTGTGTTTGTGTTCAATGCATAAGTCTTTTTTTTTTCGCCACTTGAAGATGTTTGGCAAGGTTGGCTGCACCTTTTGAAGCTTAATGAAATTAGAATGATGTGCAAAAGAGGCCTTTATGAAATGTATACACCTAATTATTAACCTAATTGAATTGACTTTGTTACACTGAAGAAAAGATCTATACATTTGTGATTGTTAAAAAAAGTTAAATTGTTAACTTTTGCAGCATTTTGTGATTTTTTTTTTTTTGTTGAAAAATGTTTATTCTAAAAAGGGTTTATTTTGTTTTCTTTCAATTTTTAATTTGCAAAATTATATTAAGGTTTCTTTTTTTTTTAGATTGTGAAAATTCTGTTAATTTAGTTTGTTTGTTGGTTGGTTTGTTTAACAAAAAAAACAATTTCATTGTCAAATCCAGAGAAATACAAAGCAAAGAAAAATGAGAAACATATGGGTTAGCGCTGTAGACATAGATCAGTCACTTACACAGGGCTGAAATGCTTGAACTACTTTAGTTAGAGAGGGCCGGGGGCGCCGCACATGTTTCGAGCGGGACAGGAGTGTGCGGCACACGGGCCTTTGCAGGCCTCAGGAACGGTCCTTCCATATATTTGGCTGGTGTAACGGCTAGTGAAAAGGTTGAGCTTTGCCAACAGCGCACGCTCCTCATAGCGTTTTGCACGGTGGTACTTTTACCTTTTGCACTCTAAAATGTGACCGAAAAAAAAAAAAATCAACTGTGGGGTTGATTTGTTTTCTATGCTTTCTTTTTCTTTATGTTTTTTGTTTGCTTCTATTGTACTTGACCGCCTTAAACTACTGTTATCAGCTTATACTCAGAGGTTGAAAACTGGAAACTGTTGCTGGAATACTGGATGTCTTTCTTTGACTTTTGTTCAATGGAAATGAAGCTGTGAAATGGCCTATGAAGCATATCCATAAATTGGACACCCCTTTAGTTTACTTGAAACCCGGGAACCCAGTGTGAAGAACAACTCTGTCAAATTCAAACTTGGTGGCTAATGAGAATGGGAAAGAAAAATAAATATCTGTTGAATTCAAGGACAATCGCTGTCTGGATAAAAAAAAAAAGAAGAAGATTCGACTTCACATGTAATTGCTTCCCTTCTGAGATTTTTTGCTATGTTGACATTGTTCTTTTTATGGATTTAGACATTTAGCTTTGACAATCATAGTATGTTTCATTTTCTCAAGGGAAGTAAATTATGAGGCTGTTTAGTTTTGTACTTTTGGTGTGCTGTTGGTGAAATTTTTAAATTGTGTGCAAACTGCAATAAATTATAAGAACCTTAACCTCTCCGTGCCATTTTTCTGTCAGAAACTTCTGGCGGGATTGCCAGTGCAATGACGATGTGCAGATTGGTGAGACGGTGTTTGTGTTTTTGCATTCAGTTCAATAATCTTATTTACTGTAGATGCTCGTGTGGGTGGAAACATGTTTTCCAGTGCGTGAGGTCTGTAGATTGAGTATACTGTCCGAGTGTGTGTGTGTGTGTATGTGGTCTTACATGGCTCATGTGTATATGCTGCTTTAATGTCTGGCTGGTGCTCCAGTGAAGGCGTGGGTTGGACCTGGGAAAATGTGCAGCAGCTTGTACGAAGACCATCCCCTCCCCCTGCCTCACACACACACACACTCAGTCAGTCACAGGCTGCTTCCAAAGCTCCTCAAGTACAGTTTTCCAGAAAACAAATCAGCTTTATCTAATGTCTCGCTGTTCGGCAAACCTGGCCTACAGATGCACTAAAGGCTGACCACTTTTAAGTCAGCGAGCGTTACTCAACAGGCCACTGCCACAGATGGTCCCGTGCTGTAAGCCTCTGCCCCCCCTTCCTCATACACACGCCACCTCCTTCTAATTGGTACGTGATTTAGTTTTTGATCACGTTTTGGATTTAAGATCCCATATTATCCATATTATCGTGGAAGTATGAAATTGTAGACTTAAAAAAATGATTGTCATTTTAACAGTAAAAGACTGTAAAAATGCTTTGGTAAAAACATGTTAATTGGTTAATGGCAAGTTCCCTTAAAGTTACAGTTTTTGGAAGTGAAAAAGAGCAAGTTATCTTATAATTTACAGTGAAAAACTCTAAATTGACATTCCCAGAGTTCTCTGTGACACTTCACATTTGATGGGTTTTCACTAAAATAACTATGCTCCCTCTTGGGTTTTCATTAGTTAAGTACATTAGGGTTTTATTTCACATCTAATGTTGTTAAAATGAATTTCTATTAAAATCACATTTTAGTGTCGTGTATTACAGTGATACGGTGTTTTATGTGTATATTGAGCAACTTCAAAATATTAAAAGCTACTAGAGAGTTTGATTCATCATGTGGATTTTTCACTACCTGGTGATTGTCAGTGTATTATAAAAGTACAAAACAGAATTTAGTACTTCAGTAAGTTGCTATAACATTATATCAGTTAATGAAATATGCAGTTTTATGTAAATGTTATGTAAATTTCTTAATGGTTTCTTAATTCTTTCCAGTGTATAAAGGTTATTTCTAGACAATATTGCCCACACTCTCACTAGTTTTTCTGAGAGATGAAATTTGATTTGTGGCTACATTCACACACAAATCTGCACCTAACATCTGGTTGGAACGGACAGTTGATGCTTCTCCGAGGCATAATGGTTTTCTCTCTTTGCTTTTTTACTATGAATTTAGGTCATTAATTTGTATCTGTCCTTTGTTTACTCAAGGAGCAGAGACAAAGGGGCAGCTGTGGAAACATTTGGCTGTGCCGAAGGGTAGTGGGCTCGACGTGACGAGTGTATTACCAGCTTGGGTCTTCTATATGTAGCTCCAGCACAGAAGTTGGAGGGAGCTGCGTGCCAGTGTACTGGGGGAGAGCGGCGCACATGCATGGCATCGATAGGGCAGCCGTTGCACTGAGGTATGACTGGTTCTGCCCACGCAGATACTGTAGCTGCTGAGAGCTTCACCACTCTCTGTGACCAGCTCCAAATATAATGTACATTAGAGGGGCGCAGACAGGAAGAGGCCTTTCTGTTTGTTTGCATTCGACAAGTTATTGAAATTATCGAACGTTATTAACCCCTGTGTTCAGTTTGGCCATTTTAATAGCTTATTAAAAAAATATAACAGTGAAGTATCCAGATTGATTCTTAATGAGTTTTCACTTTTGCCCTACATGTTACATTATGTTTAGACACTCAAAGGAAAAAAGAAAGAAATTCATTTTCATATGCTATGATACTCTACAGATGCCAGTTATTTTGATTTCTCTCAAACTTTTTTTTTCCCCTACAATGTGTTTTGTGCTCATGTCAAATTGACCTCAAACAGATATGTTTCTATAATGAATACTTTGTGGTAGAAAAAAAAAGAAATATATATATATATATATATTATACAAAATATGTATATTCTATAATGCATCATATTTGCATCAATGGTTCTTTGAAGAACCTTTAACAATCTTTCCATTGCACAAAATGTTCTTTATATTGGAAAAAGACTCTTTAAGAACTGTTCACTGAAAGGTTCTTCTATGTGAAAACCTTCTTTTGGAGCCTTTATTTTTAAGAGTGTAGGTTTTGATTAAGCCAGAGGAAAATATTAAAATAATTTGAAGGCAAAATTAGGTTCATTTAAAAATGACTATTATTATCTGTACATAATATGGGAGTATAATTATTTTGTATATATAAATACACACATATGCATGTAGAAATATTTGCATTTATATACTGTATATATATTTATACACAATTTATATTATATATACAGTAAATATAAATATTTTATATATTAATAACACATTTTTCTTAAATATATACATGCATGTGTGTGTATTTATATATACAAAATAATTATACACACTACACACACATATCATGTAAACAAAAACTTTGATTTTGGAGGCTGCCCAGCACTAATATATATATAATATTCTTGACTTAAATATTATCATATTTCATTTCATTTAGGCTTGTACACACCATAATTTTATAACCCAAAATTCGGTACATTTCCACTTCTCAATGAGTCAAAATGTGCTGAAAATTCAGTGGCGGCCAGCAGTTAAGATGTAAGGAATTTGAGCGAATGAAAGAAGCATTAAGTCCTACATGAAAGAGAAAGGAAAAGAGGAAAAAAAGTACAAGGGCTCAGCAGATAAAAGGTGAGAAAAGCAGGCAGGAGGGACGACGTCTTCTTTCTTTCAGTTGTCTGCCTCATTTAAAAGGCAGCCATTGTCAAGCGTCCTGTGCACAGACAGAAGGCAAGCAACAAGCGGCCTGTCTTGGCCCTTCAGACAATGCAGTGGTGCTACAGCCTGTCAGGGGTGGGGGAGAGGTGTCTGCGTGGGGGCAT